AGTATCTAGAGCAAAGACAGTGCGAATTCAACTCATTCAAAGTGAATCTTAGCTAGATTTGATTCCTTTCCATTCTGAATCCAGAATGCAGCTCTTAATGGAACCTTCTTCTGGGTCTAATTGAGCTCTAGGACGTAAGCTTCATGTGCCATAAACCCATTTTCTGTTAAGCTAAGAACAACTGTGTAGGAAGCTTCTGCTAGCAGCGACTTCTACAATAGAATTGCATCGAAAAGTACTTGAAGTCTTGAGCCAACTTCTGCTTGAATTCATTTATGAGCACAACATCTAACCCCTTTCAGCTTGAGCCTCCTTGGATGCTGCTCAAATAACTGAGAACTAATTAGAACTGTAGCCAAGCTAGGTAAGGTCAAAGGCACGACGAGAGTTCGTTAGGTACTCGGAAGAGGAAGATGCTTGGGCTTTTAGCTAAAGTCACATCTGGAAAGTTTCTGCAACGGCTGAAGGACAACCCCAAAGGCAACCAAGCGCTTCCAGCTCATAAACTTCGTGACTGAGTTTTAAGTTGATTTCATTTGATTACTTCATTTGCAACAACAGCAACAGCTAATGGCAAAATTATAGCCATTGATTTTGCGACAAGTGAATATTTGCGCATTTGTCTAGCCGAGTTTTGCTGCGACCCTTCGACTCTGACTCCGCCTTCGCCGTCGGATGTGGATTGCCGATTGTCGATTGTGTCGAGGGTGTCATTTGGTAATTGTTACAAGCTGCCGCATATTTGGACAGCCAGTCGACCCACTCAAAACAAACAAACGAGCGGCAGCAACCCTCAAGGCAGAACATCCTTAACATGCTGTAAGCGGATACGCACAAAGGACACCACAAGAGACCGGCCAGGATCAGCCCAGCCAGTCGCCCCGAGCACTCGACGTCGCGGGGCGCCACTGCCACTGCAAATGTCATTAGTTTACAGTTGTCTGATTCCATTTCAATATTGTGATCGATGATGACACAGGAGACAGAGCCAGCCACAGCGCAAGCAGCTCTTCCCACACAGAAACTGCTCTAGTCTAGCTATACTTTGTAGACCAACTTCTGAGCAGCGAGTAGAGTAACTAAGCATTGACTGCCCATATTAATGGCAGAATCCATATAGATCCAAGTCTGTCTACCTACCGATCTGTCCCGCTCTCTGTGCCCCTGTCTAGAACGTGTCCATTCATCTGAGAGTCTATTCGTTCGTTTCTTTGCTGTCAACTCAGGGACTAAGACTCAACTCTCGATAATCGATACTTGGATGTCATCGATCTATATCGATCGCTATCTTAAGTGTTTTTAAATACAACTCGAAGGGAGCTCCAGTCTTTTAAGTCGATTCTTCTAAGGCCAAACTCATCTGTAGCCCCTTCCATTACACGATTCAAGATCGAATGCCTAATAGTCTTATGTTGTCTTATGACTGTATCTAGATCTCCAACCTCGATCGTCTTTCTATATATAACCAGAGATATCTACTTCTGTATATGCCTCTCCCCACTCCGATCTCAGCCAAGATTGAACTTTGGGCTTTTATGATCTTATGTTTCCCAGGCAAAGTGGGCCTCAAATGTAATGCAAGAAGATGTTGCCGCCGCCCCCGTCGAGCTTTTCCAGACATGAAAAACTGGCGACATGTGCAACTGTTGCTGCTGCTGGCTGCTGTTGGGACAAGTGACGCCAATATGATTTGTGATTTACAACAGGTTTCAATTAACAATGCGGGGCTGGAGCAGATCTCTCAATGCCCTCACTTCGGGCACATTCGCGCTGGGGAGCTGAACGCTCAAATAGCTGAGTGAAATGGAAAGTTGAGTAGTCTGGCAAGGCCAGGACAGATGGCAACACTCGAAAGGTACTCGGATACAGAAGAAGAATAATGAAAATTCTCTAATCAAAAGTTGCTGTTAAATGTTTTATAAACAAAGTGGAAAGCAGACTAGCTGTCAACTTTGACAATCAGATTTGTGCCTTTAATTGTGAACTCCAAAATAAGAAACAAAAACTGTTGGATTGTGCAAAGCTTTAAAAGTAGCTGTCAACTTTGACATTCACAATTTGAATTTTGAATTTTGTGGCTTTCGTAAAACTACGTCTGAGTTGCCTATACAAAAAATGACGGCTATATATTTAACAGCTAGTTAAAAGTTTAGTTATAGCACAAAGTTGCTGTTAACTTTGACAGGCAGATCAAGCAATTGTTATTTATATAGCTGGGCAGTCAATGAAGGAAAAGGTTCTGCTATATATTTAACAGTCAAGATAAAACTTGCGTTTAAAGTAGCTGTGAACTTTGACAGGCACCTCAAGAAATTGTTATCTCTTATTAGAGAAGAACAGCTTCAAATGTGAAGCATAAAATATATGCGATATATAGTATATATTAGGGTATTATTGACTTCGTCTTTGACTTCGATTTTTTTCCATTTTTTGTTGGTTTTCGCATTTGGAGAAGTGAGCAGCTGAGAGGCGTTGACAGGGACATAAATAAAGGACGGCTAAGTATCAAGTAATACTAGACGAATAGTTTAAAGTCTACTCACTCTCACTCTCGATCGATTGTAAATGGAGATGCGAGTGGCTGCCCCTTGGGGCAGTTGCATCAACTGCATCTGCAGTTGCAGTTGCCGAGCGACTAATTGAAGACAAGGCGGCAACGATTGCGGCATAAATTAGACAACAACGAGCCGAACAACAAGAGTGCCATTAAGTGGATGCCAGCGAGTGGCAGGGAGGGAGCGGCTCTTCGCCTAGCGGGGGCGACCTGGGGAGTGGGGGCAAAGGAAAATGCCTGATGGATTGTTAAATGTGTATGAAATGTCGCGGCGACATATTTCAATTAAAACTGCGCCGGGCGACGCCGACGGCGACGTTAACAATTTTGTTAGACTTTGTCAGATACCCTGCAGAATGTGGTGCCAAGTGTTGCTGCTGCACGAAAGTAAACAGGGTATATTGGCTTGCTGCTCGTCCTTCTGCCCGAGAGACAAGACATTTGGAGCTAATCAAAAGAGACTTGAATATATCTGTATGTATATATGATATATAAGAACAGCCTACCTCTGACTCCATAAAATGTATAGTAAAAATAACGAAGCGGCTTAGGGGCGTGGCAAATCGACAAAAGCCCAGAAATTGCGAAGTTTTGGAAATAAAATCAACCAATTCTGCTAGCTGCTTCATACTCACGATTCTAGGCAGATTCACTACTATTTTTATTAACAAGTCTGTTCATAAAAACAGTAGTGAACAAGTCTGTTCATAAAAATAGTAGTGAACAAGTCTGTTCATAAAAATAGTAGTGAAAGTAGCTCTGTTCATAAAAATAGTAGTGAGTCTGCCTAGAATCGTGAAAGTCAAACGAGCTCTAGCTCAGTTCTTCTTTTCACTCTACTCTAAGGCAGCACTATTATTTCAATGAACAATACTATTTTGTACAAAAAGACCAGACTATTTACAGGGTATTCGAGCTGTCGATCATTGGACGACGCTGTCTTCTGAGCTCATTAAATTCAGATGGCATTTGGTTAAAGCAAACATAATCCGCTCATAAACATTTATTTGTTGCCCAAAAAACTTGACGGCGCGCCGGCACAGTCCACAGCCCCCGCCCACAGTGGCCCCTTTTTCAATAGACAGACAGAGAGAGTGAGAAAGAGAGCCTCTCCCTCTCTGAGTGAGAGAGTGAGGTGCTGCCCACCTCCTCATTTACAGGGTATTATAAATCATGTGCTCTTTGCCGAAGGATTTGGCCGAGCTCATAAGCTCGCAACTTCTAACCCGCCTCAGTGGCACGCCCCCTGTGCATGGACACGTGTGGCGCACTTAAGACTCGCAACGAATGTTATGCAACACTGGCCAAATGCCGCTGCTGCTGCTGCTGCGCCTTTCCACCAGTCGCTCAGTCAAAAATCTAATTTCAAGCACCAGAGAACAGCCGAAAAGCTGAGCAGGTTCAGCTGGTTGGGTGGTTTGTGTGGCGTTGGGTGGCTCAAGTGGCAAGGCCGTGGTGAATTTTTGCAAGCGTCGTCAGTTCCACTTCGCTAGCTTAACGATTTTAGCTGCTGTCAGAGTTTTGGGCTCTGTCCATTTGATGTCTTAATGCGCGAGACCGAGCCACGCATACCCTGTAAACCAGGCAAGCCGCCGACCCACCACCACCACCACCCACTCGTTACCCCCGGCATACAATTTTAATCAAATGGATTTGTTTCTATTTTCTATCTAATTTTCCAGCGGGACAGCAACCCCAAAAATAGATGTGCACAGGGCAGCAGCCACACCCCCTTTCATAAGACGCCCACCCACCCGAACGCTGCAGCTCCCGTCACCTTTTGAAGCTGAAAGATTTTCGAGAGGTGTCAACGGGGCGGCACGATTTATTTATTAGTTTTTTTAGCTGAGCTCTTGGGGTATTAACTGGCCTAGGAGCAACAATAATTCACAAAGAGTCAGAGGGAGAGAGATAGATATGGGGGTGGGGCGGTAGGGCAGAAACAAAAGAGGAACGGAAAAGTTAGAGAAATGAGAATTTACATTTTATAGCAAAAGGTGCAAGTCTTCAGTTAAACATTATTTACAGACACAAGCCAAATTATAGCATAGCAAAGCTTTAATACTGGGAACACAAAGAGCTTATTTCTTAGCTGTAGCACACACCATTAGCAAAAGCTCGCCAAATGTCACCTAAAAGTATTCAATGCAAATTGAAATAGTGTATTTTCACACCTTAGCCAAAAACAGAACCAAATTGTAAAGCATAGAAGAGCTACAGCTGACAGCTTAGCTGAGACTAGTACCAGCTAGCATGAGCAGTCAATAACAGCTGTTCGCACGCCAAGACAGTGTTGTACAATAAAGAAAACAAGCGCGCCAAACTATCGATAGCAGTGTTTAGCTCAAGCGTATCGATACAACAACAGCTACAACATTGCCTAAACGTTAGCGGCTGCACAGCGTGAATGCATGCCTGTTAATAGTTAACAGTTGCGGCAGTCGCTTTCTTGTATTCGCTGAGTGCAGGCGTGGAATTTTTTATATGTGTTTTTTTTTCGATTTAATTTTTTTTCGAACGACGCGCTTGAAATTGAATTTATGGTTCGTTCAACTGACGCCAAGTTAAGCCGAGTGAAGCAAAGAAAAGGAAGCCAAATTAACGTATTTCATTTGTGAATGTTAAACAAAAGCAAGTAAAATGGCATTGAAAAGCGACAGAGGAGAAAAGTGAAAAGCAAATTTTCTGCTACGCTTGAGAACCGAAACGAAACAGCAACAGCAACAAGAAGAAGAAGAAGAAGCAGCAGCAGAACAAGACAATTGAGTGAGACGAAGACGAAAGCGAATAGCTGAAGAGAAGCAGAGAAAAAGATCATGCGTGCTTGACGACGACGACGACGACGACGCTGGCAACGCCAACACATGCAGCAGAGGGGCGGGCAGCGGGCGACACAACAGCAACAGCAACAACAACAATAAATAGTGCCAAACACAATGCAAGATAGACAACAAGAAAACGAGAAGCAACAACAACAGTATTTGTATTTCCACATAATTGACAACGAGCGCCTGCAAACGTGCGCACAAGAAGCCACACAAGAGAGAGCCCACGAAATTATATGAAGAAAATAAGACACAAAACAACAACAAAATTACCGCTCAGCATTGCTCAAGCATATGTGTGTATATGCTTATGTGTATGTGTGTGTGTCTGTGTTTTGAAACTACAGCGAAGGCAACAGGCGTCTAACAGTGTTGTGTGCAGCAACCACAAAACTTACCTTCAGCCCGGCTCAGACAATAAGGAGACGGCAGCAGAAACGAGTGTTGTGTGCAGCAGCTGAAAAAAGTAGTATTAACGTGAACTTATGCAAAGGAGGCTCTCAACTGGAAAAAACAGAAGATGTAGAAAAAAAAATACAATTAAACAATTAAAGCAGTGTTCGGTGAATGTTTAGTACGTTTTTAAGCTAATAAGAGTAGAGAACGCAGTTTAATACACATGTATTAACATAAACGTATTTATTATTTGAAAGATCAGAAAAGTGCAGCTAAAACAGTGTTGCGTGCAGCAGTAAAAGTATAAAAACAGAAGCGGATCAACAGACGAAGCCTTGCGCAATACATTTAATACCTTCCTCAGACACATACGCACACACGCACAACTATCAAGATGAAAAGCTTATGGCTTTTGGTAGCGTTGCTGATCGGCACAGCAATCAGTCAAGAGGAGTTGATCACAACAACCACGACAGTGGCGTCACCTGGCAGCGCATCAGGTCGGCCGCCGCCGCCGCGTGTTTTGATCAACAAGTGTTGCCACCACGGCGAATATTTGAATGGCAGCACTTTGGAGTGCGTCGCTGGCTCGTCGGAGAAGTGGGTGCCGCTGGTCTATCTGAAGCAGCAGAGTCGCTTCTTTGAGCCAAGAGGCGCCAAGCCACGCTTTATCAAATTCCTGCCGAACGTGCGACCGCCCTGCCAGGCGCAGGGTCAGCAGCAGGAGCTGTTTAGTAGCCGGGATGCGAACGTCGTACTGCTGCCCAATGGCACGATGAAGTTGCGTGAACGTGGCCTGTTTATCGAGCCGTCCAGGTACTGTGTGGATCAAGGTGTGGCGCTGGTCTGCCTCGACCAGAACAAGGATCCCCAGCTGTCGGCAACGGCTGATGGAGAACACGCCTCAGCCACTGACGATGCACTGAGTCCGGCCAGCTCAACAGCGCCCATGCTGCGCCTGCGCAAATGCTGCGGGAAGTGGGGCTACTATGACAGCGTGGCCAAGACCTGCAGCATCCAGACGCCCGCAGAGCGCGATTCGGACAGCGGGCAGCTGAATCTGCCCCATCTGCCGCCAGGCAGCTACCAGACCACCTATGAGCTGCCCGATTGCAAGGGCAATGGCAGTGGGTATGCCATAGCCGGCGACTGGCACGAGGCAACACTGAACCGGAGCAGCGGCTCCCTTCAGCTTAGCCACACGAATCTAACGGCTGCTCAGTTTTGCCTGGAGCACACGCAACGAGCAGGCGAGGTGAAGATCATTGCCTGCACCCAGCACTTTGCCGACGGCGGGGCAGACGGCAGCTTGCAGAAGGCCGTGCTGGATGTGGGCATCATTATATCGATCATCTTTCTGGCTGCCACACTGGTGGCCGGGTATATGCTGCCAGCGGTGCATCATGCACTGCACTGGCGCTGTCAGATCTATTACGTGTTCTGCCTGCTGCTGGGCAAGATTCTGCTGGCCATCGAGGAGCTGAACACGAGCCTGGAGCCCGGTACAGCTAGCTGTTTGCTCGTCGCCATCGGCATGCAGTTCTTCTTCCTGTCCGCCTTCTTTTGGCTGAACACGATGTGCTTCAATATCTGGTGGACATTCCGAGATTTTCGACCCAGCTCGCTGGAGCGCAACCAGGAGTCCATCCGTCTGCGACTGTACTCCGTCTATGCCTGGGGCTTGCCTCTGCTCATTTGCGCCATCGCCGCCTTTGTGGACCAGCTGCCGGATACGGAGACTTCGATGTTGAGGCCGGGCTTTGGTCAGCCGTTCTGCTGGTTCGACAACCGCTCGTTGACCATCTTCGCCTACTTCTATGGACCAATCGGATTGCTGCTGTGCGCCAACATTGTGCTCTTCATCTCCACCACGCATCAGCTGACGTGTGGCCTGTGGAAGCGCGACGATGTCAAGTCCACGTCGGAGAAATCGGCTCTGGGTCGCGTGTGTCTGAAGCTTGTGGTAGTGATGGGTGTCACCTGGATCTGGGACATCATCTCGTGGCTGGTGGGCGGGCCACATGGTGCCTGGCTCTTGACGGATCTCATCAATGCTCTCCAGGGCGTCTTCATTTTCATTGTTGTCGGCTGCCAGCCGCAGGTGTGGACCGCCTGCAAGCGCATCTGCTGTCCGCGTCTCCGGCACGACATAACGAATACCACCAATGGAGTTCAGCACTCGAGCAGCTCCCAGGGTCTGCCATCCATGGCCAATGGCACCGAATTCACTCAAAACATCTCCCTGAACAACACAATAACAACCACGACACCTGCTAGCCCCACCACAGAGGACGCCCCCACCGCGATACCAGCGACGAGCTGTCCAAGTACCCAAGCCCCAACAGCAGCAGCAGCAGCATCAACAGCGAAGATACCCTTGGAGACCATTTGCTAAGGTAAGCAGTTTGATCAATACAAGCAATCATACAGTGATGGTCAAAATATTGGGAAAGCTCTAGACTTTGTGCGTGTTGCAGGCAGAGCAGTTCAAAGCAGACAGTGCTAGAGCCACATCTGCACCTTATAGCTCTTGACCAAGTCAGGTATGTGGCTGTATACCTATCGTAAGCTTAGACAACAAACACAGACATAATTAAGTGAGGAGTCTTTCCAGAAAGGAATCTTCTTAGGGGTACACCTAACTTTATGGCCAGCAGTGTAACGATAAGATAATTTGTCTGAAGCAAACAGACGCACAGGTAAATCTTGTAATCGAGGCACACCTTAAGCAAATACAAATGCAAATACAAATAGCCCGACATAGAGCCGTCAATTGCCTCACTTTCTTTCTCTCGGACGCAAACAGAACTTAAAAGAAGAATAAACAAAGATATCTTTATTTGAACTGAAAATTCCGATTGTTGCTCAGATATAGTCAATATAACGTAGTTCCATTTGTCGCGCTGCGCCGATGAATTCATCGTGCGTATAGCAGCTGCATCAGATTGAGCGCATTAGTTGTTCCCTAATGAGGTAATGCGATCCAGCTAAAGTTGCGAAACCTGGCAGAGAGTTCACGGGAATTACTCATTAGTGAATAAGTTTAATGACTAAAGCGGATATATACTATATATTTTTTTCAATTTCCAAATCTTTCGATCGATTGGAGAAGCCCCTAGATCTAGCTAGAGAATGATATTTGGCCTCTTTGTGAGTGCGTTGCATGCCAACGATAGTTCCTATAGTTGCCCTAGAACATAGTGCACCGATTTGATACTACTTTCTAGATAGCTTAGCCAAGACAGCGAAGCACGTAGTTGCCAAAGATAACTAAAAAGAGGAAAACTTCTCATATCATCCACAAGTCTAAATTAAAAACTTATTTGTACTATGAATGTATCTGAAGCATGCCACAACTCATAAATCCAAGTTTACTCAGTTTGAAATGATATAAACAAGATTTCAGTTATAGATAGTTTCTAGGTTTGGACTAGCCGCCAGAGTGAATCGTCAACTTTAAAACTATTTAATTAGCAAGCTCTACATATATGAGTAATAGGTATTACTCTTTCTGTTTCAAAATTGCCAGATAGTTTTATATAAAACTCTGTTTCGCCTAGTCAACTATGTGAACTGAGTAAGCTCTGCAGCTAGGCCTACCAAACTTGGTTGAAATTCATGTTTATATATATGTAATTGATATAGATAGATACATGGATAGATTTATAGATATAAACATATATGGATAGGTATGGATATAGATATAGATTCATAGATGTGGCTATAGTTAGAGAGATATAAATAAATATAGATATATAGATGGATGTGAATATGGATATGGATATAGAGATTTGGTTATGGATTGAAATGGATATGGATAAAGATATAGATTTAGATACATCTGTAAAGATACATTTATAGATAGATTGATATGGATATGGATATAGATACAGCTACAGCTACAGCTACACACATAGATAGATAAATGCATATAGATACACATAGATAGGAATAAATACAATTGCATTTTACAGATTGTTATTGTTAACAGTTCCCACTTTCTCGCTCTGCTTCACATTGAGTAAATGGAAATTGGCAAATGGCTTTTCTCCATTTATTTTCTTTTTGGTTTTTTTACTGTTCTTGAGTGTGAGCCATTAGGGACGCCCACAGTCCGAGTCCGAGTCGGAGTCGGAGTCCATGTGACTTTTGCAATACGCCCAAATTGCAATTGCGATGGGAAATAACAGGACATATGGAAGCAAATGGCAGGCAGACATATGTGAGTTTTGGGAAATTTACCAACACTGTTGGCGGAGGCGCCGCGGCGCCTGATGCTCGAATGCTTGTGCGTGTTTTGACCATGATTGGCCTAGGCCTGTTTAATTACTTTACAGCTATGCGCCAAGTTTACAATTGCGTCCGCTGCTGCTGCTGCTGGTGCTGCTTCTTCTTCTGCATTTATTGCGCTGCGAACGAACCACTTGAAAGTGCCATAAAAATCAAGACATCGAAAAAGAAGAAGAGCATAAAGAGGCGTAGGAATGTGAAATGTGAAATGTTTTTCATTGTTTTTCAATGGAAAAATGCGCGGGCAGCGCCGTTGGCTATTCGGACATTTCCTGTAGATTTCCACATGGCCATAAAATAATCAGCGCAACCCTTGACACACACACACACACACACACACAGATATATATATATATGTGTGTGTGTTTATGGCATCCTCTTGAGTCCATTTAAATGTTATGCATATTGATAGAAGAAATGGACACACGTTTAACACGCTGTGATAAGAACTTTTTACTTGACTCCCCCAGCCATCGGCGTCGACCTAACACCCGGAACTCCAGCGACGACTACCCAGATCCCCCCTCAATTGAAGTGAGTGTTGCATTGAGTGCTACAAGCACATGGGCTAAAAGAAGAATGTGCTCGACTAGCAAATACCCTGCCTTGTAAAGAATTCTAACTGACAGTCTAAACTCTATCTGAAATCGAAAATTTACAGCGTTATCAAAAGACAGAATAATTAAAAACTTTTAGCTTTAAAGAGTTCATGATCATGATGATATATATATATTTAGATCAGTATCAGTTTCTTATAGAAACTCTATATCATTGTGAAAATATGAAACAACCAAACCAACTTGAATTGACACTGAAAGCTGCCTCCCATACATAGGCAGTATCTCATCAGGAGTAGGAATACTACTCTAATATATATAATACTTATTCAGATAAGATCATGTATGAGAGTTATATGATATATCTGCACAGACAGTTCATGAAAATAGTTGTGCGAGTGAGCACTAATTGTAGCACAGTAAAATTTGGGAATAAACATGATATTGGAAACGACTATTAGGCTGAATATACTATTTATTAGATTATAGATTTGTTTGGATATATATATAGATTCCCATGTTCTCATGGAATTCCAAAATTTTGCTAAAATTTCGTAACAAATTTCATTCAATTCCCCCAATTCAAAATGAATATCAAACATAAATTACTAGCTATATGATATATTTGTCTATATGTATGAGCATCAGTTATACATACATAACATGATTATACCAAAATCGTGCATGGCTACAGGGTAGAATGCGGAAAACCGTAATGAAATCGAAATCGAAATCGAAATTGAAATTGAAATTGAAATTAAAATGATTTTTAATACACAATATATGTGTGAATATATATATATATATATACACAAATTTGTGGACTGCGTCACTGCAGTAACAGAAACAGAAACAGATGTCGGAGCTACGGGGTGGGTATTACGTGGGAAGGGGGCGACCAAGGGGGCGGTTGGTATGTTTACCAAGCGAATAATCAAGGCGGTTCGAAATGTGCTGCGACTAAATGAGTGTGTGTGCTTGTGTGTGTGTTTGTTTGTTTGTTTATTGAGATGGTTTTACCCGGTCAACACACACACACACACACACACACAAATGTGTGTGTGAATGTATCACAGCTCCGGCTTTAACCTGCCCCATGGGCCATTATCGTCTCGAGTATTATGCAAGAAACATTTTGGGCAATGCCATAAAGACGACGCATCCACAGAAAAAAAAAGAAGAAAAAACCGGGCTTAAAACTGTGCCGGGTCACAAGCACTCTTAACACACACACACACACACACACACACTTACATATACACATATATATTTACATATATACGAAGTCTACAGAGTTGAGAGCTCTCTTCTTATCGAGCACATGTCACGGACGGTCTTCAACTCACAATTAACACACATATCGTGGCACATTAAAGCTATTCATGGGATTCTGTTTCATTTTTATGGCTTTATACATGATATCTTAACTGGTTCTATAATTCATTGTTGATAATTGAGCAGTTCTACTTAAATGGAGCTCTTCAAAATTAAGATAGCTCCAGAGGAGCTAAAAATCTAAAATTAGGCTAAATTACAAATTAGTGCGAATGTACTTAGAGTGAATGTATATATATATATAGATATATATAGTAGATAATGTCTAGAAAACTTAGATCAGTGTCTGCTCTTGAACTTGGATCCATTGTAGTTCGCTTTTAATCTAGACAAATAACACTTAAGGCACAGACTTCTACTGAATGAGGCTTCCCAACTGATCAGAAATATATCTTTCAATAAGAGTAGTTTAGTAATGTCTAGAAAACTTAAAGTTCGATCAAAGAATCCCTTTTGCATTTGATTCATTGTAGCTCAAATAGTTCCAGATTAAAGATCTTTTCTGTATTTTAATATATAATAGTTTCAGAAGCAGAGAAGATTTCCTTTATCAAGATCGTTTTAAATTAGATCGGAGATGCAAAAAAGCAAACTGTCTTAATCCAGCTCAGCTTTAATTAAATCAGAGACTTCTGCTGCAATTGAGACCATAATGAAGCCAACGGACGGATGTTTTAGTCCAACTAAGCACAGAAGACATTGGCATTTGGATTCATAATGCTTCCACAGGGGAAAACTCTCTTCATCTAGATTATTTTAAGTTAGATCTGAAGGCCTAATTGATCGGAAATATATCTAGTATTGACTTTCAGACTCTAAGTCTAAGGACTTCAGCTTGCTTTCGCCGAGCTCAATTTCCATAAACTTCAATCTAGAGCAACCTATTTAGTATACACAACCTAGAGACATTCCAGTGTTTATCTTTTTCTGTCAAGTATTCAATCCATATCCCTAAACAATCTGTGCGTTTCTAGACGCAAGCAATTGTTGATTGTCAGTTAACTTTCCAACACTGTTGTTTACTCAAACCAAGTGCTGTGGAAATTGTTTACTATGGAGACTACGATGACGACTGGGTCTGGGACTGCGACTACTTGGAATTTGTTTTCTTTTGCATGTTTATAAACAATTACACCTTTATTTACCTGCATTTCCTCATTCGGATGTAAATGCAGTTCGCTTTTTGTTTAGATTTAGCATTTCTTCTTCTTTGATACGCTGGCCCCACTGTGCGTGCCACAGCTGCCAGTCGCAGTCGCAGTCGCAGTTGCAACTGCAATTTCTTTGGCTTTTTTGCATAATCCCCATGCAGCGTGTCACCGTCACGCTCAGCAGCCGTGCAGCAGTCGATCCGCAGATCTAAATGAGCTATATCCATATGGAGGGGCATCAGATAGCAGATAGCACACAGCCAGAGAGAGAGAGAGGGAGGGGGACAGAGATAGAGATGGGGTCAGTGGCAGGGCTGGCGGCGGCAGGTGCAGGGAATGAAGCATCTTTCGTCAACCAGTACGCGCATATCAATGTCTTTCGTTTCTTTTTGCTTAATGCCAAGCAAATGTGTCTGCGCGAGAGTATCTTATAAATGCGAATGTATCTTATGGATGCGAATGCCAGTTCGAGTTCGAGTTCGAGTACGTGTCTGTATCTTTGAGTACTTTTTGTCAAATAAGCAAATGCAGCAGAAATGCAAAACGTACAGCCGACACACGGTCACACACACACACACACACACACACACGCACACACACACACACTTCGTTCATTAATCGAGTTTGGCCGCAATTTTAATTTATTCGTTCTGCAGTTTTTCAAGTTATAATTGCAATGTGGCCCATTTACATTTTACGCTCAGCTCTTTTATAATAACCTCTACAGAGGGAGAGGGAGGGCGAGAGGAAGAGGGGCAGCGGAGACTCTATAGTACAATAAATATATATATAGAGAGAAAGAGAGAGAGAGAGAGAGAGAGAGAGCTATATGTATATATAGCTTAAGTGCTTGAACTCAACATTCCTTAGCGGAAAATTTACTTTGAGACTATGATTTATCTATGCGAGATTTTCTGCTGATCATCAACAGATCAAGCCACATACGTACACACACGTACATACGTGTATGTGTGTACCTATGTAGATACAATCATATATGCACTAGAGCATAAAAACTTCGTTAAACTCAAGTAAATTGTTCTATCCGCTTTTAATTTGCGGCTCAACTTGAAGTTCTGTTTTACTTAAGCGAGGAAAGTTCAGTTTCTTTGTCTGCAATTATTGTTATGAAAGCAATATATCTTTGCAATAGGATTGCAATTTATTTATACGCTAGAGAGAAATATATATTTACTTCTTATTGTATATAAGTACAGTCTTTTTAAGCAAATAGATTTACGCAAAAAGAAAAAGTTTAAAGTTTAATGAACTTGTTGAGCAGCCCTCGCACGAGCGTGAACGTGAATATGTTGGTAATCATTTGTTGCCCTTTTGTTGTTTCTTCACAATTTGCAGAAAACTGAGACGAGCGACAATGCGAAAGTAAACCGAGTCCCACAACAACAACAGCAGCAGCAGCAGCAACAGCAACAGCAACAACAACAATGACAATGAAGGCAGCAGCAACAACAACCACCGCAATCGGGCAGGCTTGCGCAATAGCAGATACAACAACAACGACAACACCAGTAATAACCGCAATAAGCACAACATTCAAGCACGCGAGTTACAGGTTGGAGGATCGCCAAGGTGGACTTCAGTTGCGGATTCGTAGATCAATATTTGTGTAGCTGCTTGTTGGAGAGTTGTTCTTGTGACCTTTTATGTGTAATTATGAAACGTCTGTTTCTAGATCCCCAATTAGACATAGACAACATAAGTATATCTAGGGCCCTAAACCAAGCTAGCTGCATCGTATGATTATGTTTCTGTTGCTACATCCTGTCCAAAGCTGATGTTGCACTTTCGCAGCATAGTATTGGACGGCAAGTGTCGCCCACACGATTTAGAGAACTGCTTATACAGCAGCAAGGCGAGGCGGCTTGGTGGGGGCATCGCAGAGGGGACTGAGATGGTAACGGCCAGAACGATGGTATAGTAGCAAGTCCGACTGAAGGTGTTTCCAAAATTTTGTTGGCTCTACAGGTCCAGCAGATGCCAACTGTTATAGCGAATAATGCCAGTAGGACATATATATTGTGGGTAGTGGGTGGCCTTTGAGTTTTTTATCTGTATTATTCCATTTGCAGATTGATATCGTTTATTGTATTATTTATTTTTATGGCTTCGAGTTGGGGAATTGAGAGAATGTATTCTTCTGTATAGTCGATCTCTGTGTCGTCGTATTTCAATGGAACAATTTTTGAAAGTAATAATGGCTGATCCGTTAATTTATTTTGGTCTGCTACATGTGGATGTGATTGTTGCATGAATAGTATTAAAGATGATGATGTGGCGTTGTTCCACTTCCTTAATGACTTCTTCGTTGCCAATATCTCTAATGTCGCATGTTGTCATTTCTTCATTTAGAATGCCCTTTGGGCATTGTTGGAGTTGTGTTCTCTTCGCAGATATAAGTTATTTATTCGAATACCAAAATGAAAACTAAAATATATTACACTATTAGGTGGCTTAAATATCGACTACAGCGGATGCGCCAGCGGTTGCGCGTGTTGCTCTCGTAACCATAATTCTTAGGAATTGTTTTGCTGCTTGGAGCGGATGCAATGCAGACCGTAGGTCAGCATTTTTGAACTGCTTTTGACTTTGCTTACGTTAACTCTTCCACCCTCAATTTGAGAGTTGTCCTCAAGTGTCAGAAAAACGGGATGTTGGTGATTTGAAGATTTGGAAGGTGTTCGGAAGGTGTTGGTGATTGGGTGATTGACGGTGTTTGGAATTTCGGAAGCGATTTGCAGGATTACTTCTTTTTTGTTAGCTCGCCTCTTTGAGACTATCACTATTGTTATGGCAGAACCTACAAGCAATGCTAATAGACCAATGCTGTTGGTAGCGGAGTGGGTTTGTAACAGATTTAAGTGCTTGGTGCTATTTATTTGAAGATTATCTAATGTTTTTAGACTGAGAGCCCGCAAGAGTTTGGCCTCGTTGATTTGTGTTTCTTCTGTATTGGATAATATTCGGTCATCGATCGTGATAGAGCAGTTGTGGTATTTTATAAGTAAAGTGCCTTGGACAATTTGATCAGTGTCCTCCCGCTTTATTCTGCCTTGGAAGTTGTTAAGTAGTATGATGTCTTCTTGGATTTCATCTAAGCTTTCGACGTGGTCTGCGTTGCTGTAGTCGTAGTAGTATTGTGTTTTACTTAGCAGTATTTCTTCAAAATCTATATTGACAATTAGTTTATTTTGAATTCCAGGTTTTATTATGATATCTTCGTAGTTAGTTTCTTCTAAATTTGCTCTGTGTAGTTTGGTTGATCGGAGACTGATTGAATTATTTGATTTCTAAATGAATTGATTGGAGCCTCGACACTTGGGCTTAGGTTGTGAGGAGCTATTAGCACTATGAGCTGTAGAAATTACTGAGTTTACTTGGTTTGACGGAATTCTGGATAGTGTGTCTGCGATTATGTTATCTTTCCCTGATTTGTAGAGAAGTTGGTAATCTTATTCCTCGAGGAGGGCTTTCCACCTTTAATCCTAACGTTGCCATTCCAATTGCTTAGTGAGTGTGTTAGAGGTTGGTGATCTGTATAAATTTTTACTTTTGCTCTACCGTAAAGCTAGTTACGTAGGGACTTAATGACTTAATCGGGATAGCTAAGTGTGACTTCTTCCGAGATTAATGCATTTTTTAGCTTACGAAATGCTTCTAAAGAGTCTTTGTCCATGCTTATTGAGATTAGCTAGCTGCATCGTATGATTATGTTTCTGTTGCTACATCCTGTCCAAAGCTGATGTTGCACTTTCGCAGCATAGTATTGGACGGCAAGTGTCGCCCACACGATTTAGAGAACTGCTTATACAGCAGCAAGGCGAGGCGGCTTGGTGGGGGCATCTCAGAGGGGACTGAGATGGTAATTCGCGCATTGACCGAACGAGCGAGAGGCCAACTGACTGCCCAGCCCCAGGCCCATGCCCAGCTGACCAAGCGCTTTCTTGTACTGTATTGTGTATGTGTGTATTGTGAAAACCGTAAGTGCGCGCTTGTATGTGTGTGTGTGTGTGTTTTTGTGCTTTTCAAAAGCAGTTTTTAGCCTCAGTCAAACAAAGCGAGCAAATTACTTACACATGCATACATACATACATGCACACATACATACATGCATGCATGCATGCATAAATGTGTGAGCAGCACAAAAGAAATGCTTTAATTTGTTGAAAGTAACGGTGTGCAATGGGATATGTACAGCAGAAGGGTGAAAGCAAGATAGCTATATATATGTATAAGTTATTTATTTTAAGATTTCGAAATTATGTTAAGCGCGTACGGAGTATCGGCGTTAACACTTATTCGAAAAATGAGAAGACTTTGTGAATTCCGTGGCGATGACCGACGTTCTTTATTTCCAAAAATCAACTAACTCTATTTGACAATCGTTCTTATAATAGAAGCTAGCCCTAAGCCCTGAAAACGCTGGCATTGCATACAGTACTAGGTCGCTGGTCAGCAACATTGTTGCGCGTGGACGCTTCCGCTGTTGTGCAATGTCCGCTTGAGACAGCTGGTGTCGTAAGCATTTATGCTGAGAATGCATGGTCAGCTTCAATATTTACGTTCTGCTGATCAATTGTGTTAACTCCTCCCCCACTTAGGTGAATGACGTCCTCGGAGTTCTTCAAACTGTTAATTACCGCTTGAAGATCAAGTTGACGTTTGCTCCTCTGATGTCTTTGATAAAGTTTCATTGAGGCGTAGCAGGAAAGTAGAATGATGACCACGGTTAGTCCAGATATTATTGGTCTTTTTACCAGTTGTTCTTCTATTTGAGCAATGTCCCGGATGTTTTTTATGCTTAGCTTCTGTAGGTACGGCAGGCTCGGTATTTCCTGATGATCCGTTATATTTAGAAGCGTGGATGCCGCTGGTCTCGGGGATTTCCTCACGTATTTTTTTGGATTTTTATATACGGTGCCGTTTACCTTTATCTCGTTGTCAAAGGTAAGGAGGAATGTCCCTTTCACCATTTGCTCGTCAACTATAGCCACTCTGTCGTTGATGATGATAACGCCATCGTCGATGATGGTTAGAGGTTCAAGATGGCTGGGTCGAGTTGAGCAATGTGCAGTGCCACCTGAGTGCAGTTGTTGCGCGCACGTTGTATAGGGTAATTTCTTACAGAACGTTGTTGTGAGGGCTGTGCTACAATTTCCTATTGATATTACATGGTTGTCGCAAACAGCTATATCGTAGTCTTCGGCGAAATTGATTACAATGCCATCGTGTTGGACAGGGTATATTGTTAATTTTTTACATACTATGTTAGGCTTAGGGTATCTTATAATAAAGTGTAAAAAGTTATTATTTAGCAAGACTTTAACTTGAGATACTTCCATTAAGTCAGTAATAGTGATATTTATAGGGTGTTCATTAACAATATTTTTTAAGTCAGAAGAATCTAATATGGAGGGGTTTACAATTCCAACCTTTGCAAGTGTTACTGATAGCATCAAGGTTTCTAGTTCTGAAATAATTATTCTGTTTCTTGAGAGCAGTGTCTCATACAAATGTTCTGTATCTATTTGCTTTGTTTTTGTTATGAGGTTTACTGTGTCGGTTAGCTTATTTATTTGTTCTTGCATTTTTGTGTTTATAGTTACTTGCCTGTTTTCTGATTCTACAAGTTCTTTCTGTGTAAATTTAAGATTTTCCAAGTCGTCGGAGTCTGGCGTGCCAGCTACGACTTTAAGAACGGTGCCTAGCATATTAATGCTCCTAGCATGTCTATGATGGATATTTACTGTGGCTATTAGTGCTTCTATATGTTGTATATCTGTGTCTAATAACTGTCTCATATGTGATCGTGGAAAATTTTGTCTTAATTTCTTCGTGTCCTCTACTATTGCTGAGTATAGAGTAAGATTAGTTGAATGTTTTAAATATTGGAAATCCGTCCAAATGGTTACATATCCGTCTGAGATCGGTATGTAATCTGTGTTCGTATAATCGGTAAGTTTCGCCGGAACCGTTGTGGCGAAGAGAATTATAGCCCAAATCCTAAAGATAAAAAGAAATAAAAAGGGTTTAATGTTTTGTTTACCTTAGGTTGTCTTTGTGGACCACCCTCCCTTTTATTAAGACCGTTGTCCCCAAGTCTGCGTCAATTTTGTTTTCATTGTACAGTGGTGTCAATTTGTTCCCTAAACGTCTGTTTGCCTTTACAAGAACTGTATCGCCTACTTGGAATTGTCTATCGTGTCTTGTTTCATTTACCCTGTTTATTTGGAGCTGCTGTGCTTTTTGAATTTTATTTCTTATTTCAATTTTAAGTTCTGGGGAGGATGAGTGGATTATGTCGATTGGACGTTTGTCTGTTACCGAGTGAACTGTGTTGTTGTATTCAATAGTTGCTTGGAGTATCGTTTCAACGGTATCTGTAATTTTTCTTTGAGCTGTTAGGCATCTTGCGATGTCGCTGAGGGTGCTATGAAATCTCTCGACTTGTCCATTTGAAGTACTATGGAGTGGTGGGGCGTTTACGATTTGAATGTCATACTGGCCGTTTAATAGTGATTTTATTGTTTCGGACTTTAAGGAGGGTTCATTATCGCAATAGATCGTCTTGA